AGAGAGAGAGAGAGAGAGAGAGAGAGAATTCATTGCAATAACCTATTTTGCTAGTTTGTCCTTCTTCCTGGACAAAGGTCATATCTGTGTTGGTTTGCAACAGATCACTTGGTACAAGATAGTCAATAAACATTTGCTTAGGGAATGAACAAATATGAAAGAGATCAGCAGCCATGAAGGATAGCCCCATCTTCCATTCCATCCATTCTAAATCTGACCTCCAGACCAGCTCTCCTGTCTCAGATAGTCTGAGCAGGGTTCAGCCCCATCAGAGCAATCCTGGGGCCAGATATCAAAGACACTGACTGGGAACCAAGGATTAGGGAAGGAAGACAGGCCCATGGGGTAGAAGAAAGAGCAGCCAGGGACCCTTGCAAGATCCAGCATGGAAGAGCATGGTGGACATCCCTCCGTGGCACACAGGCAACATTGAGTCTTAGGGAAAGAGCTTTGCCTGCAAGACAAAGGCCCTGTGTCTCTTGGAGCAGGCCACGGCAATGCTCTGTGCCTTGGAAGCTTATAGGTGTGACCTCCAAGGGCCTGTCCAATGGCAAGTCTGAGTTGCATGGGTCAGACAGATTCCCTTTCCCTTGTCTGGGAAGAGGAGCCATCGTTAATCAAATATACATCAGCCAGTGCCAAGCCAGGCTTGGCTGGGCAAGCCTCTAAAGCGAAGTTGTAAAGAGGGGCTCGTGCTCCCCCGTCCCTCTCCAGCTCTGAGACAGGTGTTCAAGAATCCAGGTGTCTGAGAGATCAAGTGTCAGTGAGAGAGGTGTGGGAGGGAGTTATAATGAAGCAAAGAGGAGGGGCAGAAAGCCTAGAGCTACTGGAAGTGTAGCAGCCTCTTCTTCCACAGACAGGTGTTCAAAACCTCAAGCATTACAGGTCTCAGAGTCACAGGGTGGTTTCCAGAACAGTTGCTATGGCTAGAAAATTGTTCTTACTGCCTGAGGTAAATTAGCCAGCCATTCATGCATCCATGCCTACAGCTGACCTCCATCCATCCACCACCCCCATAGCCACTTCCCCATGGACCAATCCACTAATCTATCTATAGAGTCACCCAGCCACGGAGTACTTTGCCTCCCACAGACAAAAGATAAACACACATGGGGCAGGATCATGCTCAGGTCTCAGGGGAACTGAAAAGTCTGCTTGCCTTTAAGCAGACATAAATCCTCCCTCTGGTGCCACAGCCTCAGAGAAATATAAAGAATAGAAGAGGCTTGCCCAAAGTGCTACCAGGACAGAGGCCCTTCGACCTTATCTCCATGCCACTGACATTGGAAGGTTAAAGAGTGAGTCCTGACCCCAATGTCTGGACATGCCTCACAACCCTGTTTCCACCCTATCACTACGTGACTCTGGGCAAGTTTCCTCCACATTCTCCAGCCCAGGGCTTCATGGTCATGTATCTGATAGCAGGGAAGGACCTGACTGTTGAGAAAGTAACTAAGACTTGACTCTGGATCTTCAGATCTCAGACTTCAGTCTTGTACTGGCTTCCCCAACAGCCAACATATCCAGAAATGTTCCCACTTCTTAGGCCCTCAGGAGGCTGATGCGAAGGAAGAAAGAAAATCTAGGAGCTAGTGGCATGCCTTATATCAAGCAGTCTCCTGCTTGACTAGAAAAGCCTGGGGAATCAAGAATCTAGAGATTGAACACCCCATCACCCCATAAGAAACAGGTATATAACCTTCCCCACCCCTCCAGCCATGACCTTCCATCTTAGCTTCAGCTTTCCACACTCAAGCTGTAATGACCACCCCACCCCCACCCCCATCCTTAGCACTGGGTCTTATTCTCTTATCTCTCTAGAAATCGGTAGCTTCTTCCTCCTGCTCAAACCTTCCCAGCACAGTGAACTCCATCTGTCTCCAGTTTGTCTAGATTTCACTGATGAGAATTGCCTGCTTGCCTGTCTCTGACAATGGCAAAGATGCTAGCTCTCTGACAGGAAACATGGACTCCTAGCTTCCCAAGCAGGACATGGAGACCTGCTATACACCTCTACATAGACAGCTTCCTCCCTGGGGCATAGGGCACTTGCTACAAGCTCAAGGCCTGAAGCAGGTTGATATCTTCTTCCATAAAGGCCCATGACCCCTGAAGGCCCAGGGTCCCTGAAGGTTCAGGGCCCTGAAACTAATAGCTCCCCCAAAGTACCTAACATCCATGCTCAGGGAGTGCCCAGCCTTTTCAAATAAAGTTTCATGCCATTAACGTCTGCTGAGAATTCCCCAGGGAAGAGATTGAGCCATGTCCATATCCATTGCCAACACTGCTTCTCACGGCTAGCACAGAATAAGCCCCAACACGTATTTGATTAACAAAATAATTAAATTGAGCATAGTCCTTTCCTAACACACACACACACACACACTCACACAGCACACACACATAGCACGCATCCAGTTCTCAAGGCAGTCAGAGCTGCCACTGGGGTGGGATTGAGTGTTTGGCCAGAACCAGCTCCATACGGTTTTGATAATATCAAGTTCAACTTCTCGGCAAGCCCCCACCCCATGCCACCCCCTTCTTCTACCCTCCGGGAAATTAAGAATCAGCAGAAAGTCTTGGAAATAGTCTCACAAAGGAGCAAGATTTCCAACTGGGGATTTTCCTCCAAGAACAGGCATTTCTTTAGACACCACACTTCCTAGATGCCATCTCCCCGAGACTTTGTCTGCATGGATAGACATGGCTCTGTAGTAGTAACTAATTCACCACTGGAACTTTATATGTGCTGGGCACTGCTGCTTGAGGTTGGTAATAAAGCCAACCTCAAGCTGTAAGTGAAAAAAACAAACAACAAAAAAAAAAAAAAACGAGGAATAGAGGGAGGTAATTTGCCCAAGCCGGACAGCTAGGAAAATGGCAGAGCTTGGATTCCAGCAGGGCAGTTTGGTTCCAGAATACAGCTATACATACCACTTTTCTGAATTGGCCTGTCCCATAGACGAAAATGGAGAGCAGTACGGTGGGGCCAGATCTAAAGTTTTAACTACTTACTCATAGTGACTATGTACCCGTTTCCCAGCCCAGGCCTTTATCTGCATTTTAACATTGTATTCTCAAATAACCTATGAGGTAGGTATTGTTGCTGCCAATTCATATATGAGAAAATTGCAGCACAGAGAATTAGAGTGACCTCTCAAATCCACAAAAGGGGGAAGTAGCAAAGCTGGGACTGAAGCCCAAGTCTGCCTGATCAGTACTTGAACTGAGGGCCAGAGGGCTGTGCTGTCTAGCTGGGGTAGAAAGGTTTTGGCTTGCTAGGAAGAGCTGAGTGGAAAAACAACAAAGAATGAAGCTGAAAGACCCAGGCAGTGCTTGAACTCAGAAATAGAAATGGCCCTTGGAGAGCACCCAGCCTCTTGACACTCTCCAGCAGAGGGGCAGTGAGATTCTCCAGAGCTTCAAAGAGGAAATCCGCAGGCCTCGGCTTTCCTAACATCGGCGGCACAATGGAATGTGGAACTAAGCTGCAGTTCTCTCCTTGTCCCCAAGGAGTAAGAGGAGTGAGACTGGGGACCTGGTGATGCTAAAAGGAAAGGAAAATGGAAGGGCCGAGCTGGGGGTTTCAGAGGACTAGGGGGTTCTGTGTGGGTGGTTTCTAGAAAGGGGCAGGGCCAGCCCTCTGATTGGCCATGGGACCGAGGGCCTCTGTGCTAACATGCCAGGACCCTATCTGAAGAAGGAAGTATTTGGTGGTGGCAGTGAAGTGAAGTGCCCTGAAAGACACATTTGCAAGGACTACTTCTATTTCCTGAATGGTTTCAAGCAGGCAGAAAGAGGGCAGGATGCAGGAGGAGCCTCTGAGGACCAGGTAGACCTTACCTGTTTGTGTATCTAGAACTTTGGGTTCTTTCCTTTGACTCCAGTGGAAAGAAAACATGAGCCATCCTGGTCTCCAGCTGGGTAGAGGTGGGAAACCTTTTAATACCAGATGCAGTGACACTATCATTCAAGGTCAATTGGCTCCCCCAGAGCTTTGGCTCTCAGAAGTGTGAACCTATCCCGTCAGCACCTCAGTCACTTCTATCACATGCCCCAAAAGAAAGTTAGCCTTTCCTGTCAGAATCCCAATTCTGCAAAGATCTCAGCAATTTGAGAATACCCACCCTTGACAAGAAGATT